GAAGAATGGGCGACCGGGGGTTCATGATCTCCCTCTGAGCCCGACTCCTCCCCTGACGCTGCCCCTGAATCGTCAAATCTTCGGGTCGTAAATCATCTGGGCACCTCCGGAACGCTCGCGGCGAGGCGCAGCCGCTGGAAGGCCCCCCGAGGCTGGAAAGCCGTCGAGAACCGACGAGCACGTCCGAACACCTCGAACCTCGAACCTTCGGTGGCAACTCGCGGGGGCCTCCCATGCCATCTTGCTGGCTCTTGCGAATCGACGCTAACCGGCGCATATCGGCGCTAATCGACTGCAAATCGGCGCTGGGTCGGCGGTGCCCCATCGATAACCAGGCGCTGGCGCGCGCTAGTGCACCCTAAAGACGGAAGTATCTACAAGGACACACAAGGCTCCTATGACTTGCGACAGAGCGAACCGTCGAAAACGTCCGAAAACATAAGGTCGGCGGCGAGCGAGGTGGGGAAGCTCAGAAGGCTCGGAAGTCCCCTGGCCTTCTGAGAAGTGTTCGAAGCCTCCCCCGAGGACGGTGAAAACCAGTCCGAAGGCGCGAGGGCTTCTGAGAAGTCCCGCCGCCTTCTGAGAGGGCCTCCTCTTTCTCACTTCCCCCCTCGCTCGCCGCCGTACCTCGGCGTCGCGGCATACCACGACCCGGTGGCAACTCGGGTCTCCGGCGGCCGCTCGGGACGAATTCCCGGCACCCCTTCGCACACCCTCGGCGAGGCGCAGACGCTGGAGCGCACCCCGGGGCCAGCAGGCCGCCGAGAACCGACGAGAGCGTTCGACCGCTTCCCCCCCTCGCTCGCCGCCGACTTTGGGAGGCACGAGAGCGTCCGACGACTTCCTCCCCGCGCTCGCCGCCGAATCTGGGAGGCCCCCCTCGCTCGACGCCGCCAAGGAGGGCCTCCCGCTGGGCTGCTCGCGCCCGCGCTCCGCGGGGAGGGGCGGTCGCGCGGCCACGGCCGAGCGAGGGCTCGGCGGAGAGCAGCGGGGAGCAGGAGTTCCCGGGGGCGCGCAAACATGGATTCACGATCCATGGACCTGGCGTTGGCAGAAGTGGGTTAAGTGGACCTGGACCATGGGTTCAGTCCCTCCTGGGGATTAATGATCCATGGATTAACGATCCATGGATCTGGGTAAGTGGGGCCTGGCGTAAGGATGTGTACCGGGGGATGCCCCCCGCCCCGTTCCACCAACCGGAGACGCCGTCACCAGAAGAAACACCAGCTACGGCAGACATGGTTTAGTGATTCTGGCCAATTCAGAGGCTCGAGGGACCCGACGGGACCGGGGACGGCTGCCGACCCGGCGGGACCGGGGACGGCTGCCCGCCGCTGGCGCAGAGCACCTCCGCCAGCTGCACGCCGAAGGAGTCCCCGAGCCCCGAGCCCGGCACGGAGACGGAGGCGGCGCCCCTCGCGAGGTCGCGCAGGCACCGCTTCGCCAGCGCCGCCTCTTCGCAGGGTGCCGCTCTGGAAGTTTGTCGGTTGGTCCAAAAGGCGACGACGCCCTGGGACACCCAGACACATGGACACAGAAGTCACAGGGGTCCCAATACCTGTTCAAATCTTCTGGGTTTCCGTCTTCCCCCCCACTTCCCGGATTGTTCCCCTATTTTCATGGGGGTCGACGATTCATTGTGTCAGTGTGTGTGTGTGTGTGTCTGTGTGTGTGTCCGTGTGTGTCTGTGTGTGTCTCTGTGTGCCTCTGGGTGCCTCTGTGTGTCTCTGTGTGTGTGTCTCTGTGTGTGTGTCTCTGTGTGCGTCTCTGCGTGTCTCGGTGTGTGTCTCTGTGTGTGCCTCTGTGTGTCTGTGTGTGACTCTGTGTGTGTCTCAGTGTGTGTCTGTGTGTGGGCGTCTGTGTGTGTGTGTCTGTATGTGTGTGTGTGTCTGTATGTGTGTCTATGTGTGTGCGTGTCTTTGTGTCTGTGTGTGTCTGTGTGTGTCTGTGTGTGTCTGTGGGTGTGTCTGTGTGTGTCTGTGTGTCTGTATGTGTCTCAATGTGTGTGTGTCTGTATGTGTGTCTGTGTCTGTGTGTGCGTCTGTGTGTGTGTCTGTGTGTGTGTCTGTGTGTGATTGTGTCTGTGTGTGTCTGTTTGTGTGTCTGTGGGTGTGCCTGTGTGTATGTCTGTGTGTGTCTGTGTGTGTCTGTGTGTGTGTGTGTCCGTGTGTGTCTGTGTGTCTGTGTGTGCCTGTGTGGGTGTGCCTGCGTGTGTGTGTCTGTGTCTGTGCCTGTGTGTGTGTCTGTGTCTGTGTCTTTGTGTCTGTATGTGTCTGTGTTTGTGTCTGTGTGTGTCTGTGTGTGTCTGTGTGTTTGTGTCTGTGTGTGTGTGTCTGTGTGTGCCTCTGTGTCTGTGTCTGTGTCTGTGTATCTGTGTGTGTGTGTGTCTGTGTGTCTGTGTCTGTGTCTGTGTGTCTGGGTGTCTGGGTGTCTGTGTCTGTGTCTGTGTGTCTAGGTCTGTGTGTGTGTGTCTGTGTGTGTAGGTGTGCGTGTCTGTGTGTGTGTCTGTGTGTGTCTGTGCGTGTGTCTGTGTGTGTGTCTGTGTGTGTCTGTGAGTGTCTCTGTATGTCTCTGTGCGTGAATGTGTGTGTCTGTGTGTGTCTGTGTGTGTCTGTGTGTGTCTGTGTGTGTCTGTGTGTGTGTCTGTGTGTGTGTCAGTGTGTGTGTCAGTGTGTGTGTCTGTGTGTTCTGTGTGTCTGTGCATGTCTATGTCTGTGTGTCTGTGTGTGTATGTCTGTGTGTGTGTCTGTGTGTCTGTGTGTCTATGTGTGTCTGTGTGTGGGTGTGCGTGTGTGTGTGCGTGTGTGTGTGCGTGTGTGCGTGTGTGCGTGTGTGCGTGTGTGCGTGCGTGCGTGCGTGTGTGCGTGTGTGTGTGCGTGTGCGTGTGTGCGTGTGTGCGTGTGTGCGTGTGTGCGTGTGTGCGTGTGTGCGTGTGTGCGTGTGTGCGTGTGTGCGTGTGTGCGTGTGTGCGTGTGTGCGTGTGCGTGTGTGCGTGTGTGCGTGTGTGCGTGTGTGCGTGTGTGCGTGTGTGCGTGAGTGAGTGTGTGCGTGTGTACGTGTGTGCGTGTGCGTGTGCATGTGTGTGGGTGTGTACGTGTGTGTGTGTAAGTTTTGTTCCCCTCCTGAGAAAGGGGGTCTAGCGGAAAGTGGGTGGTGCAATATGCTTGGGGCACTCGTATTGCAAATGCATTGCGCCAGAGACTCGTGTTGCATAGTGTTGCAACTAACGCAACGCATTGCACGCGAAAACCCAGCAGCTTCATTTGCGCACAGGAATGTGCTGCACACCCCAAACCGATTGCAACCCCACATAGTCTATTGCACCACCTTGTCGCTGCACCCCTTTTGGGAGGGTCAACCAGAAGAGAGGTTGGCCCAAGGTGCCCCCAGGGCTTCCACGGAGGGCCCCACGGCCTCCCTCTGGAGCGTCTCTCACGCGGCCCAGAGGGCCCCAGGGGCTCCAAGATGGAGCGGGGAACTGCTGGCACCTTGGGCAACGGACACCTTTACCAACCCCGAAACTCGCGCGGGCAAGACGTATAACCACATATATATATATATGTATATATATATATATATGTGTATACACTGCAGCTTGGAGTTTCGGGTGCCCTTCGAAGACAGAGCCAGGACGAGTATAAGTGCGGGGAGGATGGATCGAGAATCTCTGAGATCCGGCGGCTCTGGAGGATGTCTCGGGCGCCGCGGCCTTCTCAGAGCGTTTCGGAACGCTCTGAGAGCGGTCCGGAACGCTCTAGACCAGTCGTCCTCGCCCTAACTCCGTCCGAATCTTAAAGTTTCGGGTTCCATTCCCCAAACACCCGAGGCGCAGTGGATAAGGATAAAACCCTACCCCCCAGAAGGAGAGTTGTTTGTCCATATCCAGTGGGCCTCGGCCTCCTGGCGCCCTTTCTCAGAAATAGGATGGAAATACATCTTGCCCGCAGTGCGGGACTTCCGATGATTAGGCTTAACAGAACCCCTAACCCCTTGGGAGGCGACCTGAGTGAAGAGGGCCAGAAACATTAGGGATAGGGGGTCTTCTGTACAGATGTGCCGAACCAAACCGCCCAGATCTACTACCCCTAGTGCAAGGACGGGAACCTCAGTGAGCCCACGTCTTCACTCTGGTATTAGAGGTTGGGTTTTTTTAACCTCGAAGATCCAAGTGTCAGGAGACAACTCCTGGGAGGTCTTCGTGAGGACGACTGGGGACTGGCAGGTCTGGTTCACCGATTCTGAATTATCGGCGGTGGACAAAACTCCCTTTAGCAATCCTCCATTTAGTAAAAACGGCCTAGGACCGAAACCGACGGACCTGGACCTGCAAAAATGACGGCCGCGACGCCCTCTCGCGAACCGAGAACGGCCAATTCACTAATCGACGTGTCAGGGTACGAGGTCGATCAACCTCCGAAAATAAAAGTCCCAGGAGTTGCAGTCTAACACCGTGCGTCCCCGGCCCAACCAGTCGGCATCGAACCGGGGGGCCGGATAGGATCGGGGCGTGCATCGGACCGGGCCGAACGAAACGGCACGGAGTCGGACTCGAATTGGATCGGCCGCGCCAGGATGCACATCGGCGCGATAAAGCGCGCATCGGGCCAGTCGGGATCCAATCGGATCGGGCCCGGCGAAGTCAACATCGGGTCGGATCGACCGGAATGAGACCCCGGATCGGGCCCACAGCGCCTCCAGGAGTACCCCTCACAGGGCCAAGAGGCCCCTAGGGGCTCCAAGACAGCACGAGGAGCTGGGGGCACCCTTGGGCCCGGGACACTTTCAAAGGGGCCCCAGGACACACAAATAAGAAGATTCCCCATGTTTTCCCATATTTTCTGGGTGTTTGTCTTCCCCCCCCACTTCCCATATTTTCCTACATTTTCCTGGGGATCGTCGATTAATTGTGTCTGTGTTTTTTCCCCTCCTGAACTTTGGACAACCCCAGCGCCTTCTCCGCGGACCCGGCGTTGCGGATGTCACCCATCGTGACGACCTGCGGTGGCGCGAAGGCCCTCCCAGAAGTGGAGCGACGCGAGGAGCAGTGGCCCAACGGACGAAGAGACGGCGGCCTTACAGTCGGGCCGCTGGAAGAAGGAACGCCAAGTAGGGAACGAAGCCCCCCTCCTTGGCCCCAGGAGTGCCTGCGTGGACGAGGAGCGCTGGAGAAACAGCCATGGAAGGACCTAAGGAACATCGAGCCCCTTCCGAATCTCAACTGCTCCTCATGTCAGCGTCTTGGCCAGGAGAGCCCCGAATCGAATCGATAAGTCGGATCGGCGATCGAAATGAGCCGCATCGGCGGAAATCCGCAGCAGAGCAGGGAAACGTCGAACAGGCAGAAACCTGGCCGGCTGGTAGGCATCCAGTGGAGGAGATCGGGAGCCGAGGCGGCATCCGAAATCGAAACGGCTCGGGAACGGAAGCCATCGAAGCCGAACCTGGCCATCGCTCGGACGTCCATTCCCTGTGCATTATTCGGCTTCGCGCGTGTGTTTTTGTTCGCAGCGTGGACAAACAAAAATGCTCCTCGGTGGCCCTTGCCGAAAAAAAAAACGCACACGTCCGAGCGATGCCAAGGAACTGAATCGAATCGGAAGAATCGAAGAGCGAGCCCCCGCGCGAGTCGGAAGAATCGAATCGGAAGAATCGGAAGCCATCGAGGCCGAACCGCATCGAATCCGAAGAATCGAAGCGGAGCCCCTTCGCGGCCGCGCGCCGCGTGGCCCGTGCGCGGCCGCGCGCGGGGGGCGCCCCGCGGGGAAGACACGCGGCCCGGCGCGCGCAAGCTGCGCCAGGAGCCCTGCGCGGGCGGCCCTTTTCGCGCGCACGGGCCGCCCCGCGCGGCGCCGATGCCCAGCGCCTGCCACTGGCCATCGCTCGGACGTCCATTCCCTGTGCTTTTTTGGGGGTTCCGTGCGTGGCTTTTTCGCCAAACGATCAAAGGTGCTCCTCGAGGGTCCTCGCCGCAGGAAGAACGCACACGCCCGAGCGATGCCAAGGCGAAGTACGCCACCAGCGCAGGGGGGATCGGCCCGCACCCCTTCGCCGATGCATCGGCGACGCCAGCCCGCCAGCAACAACCACATATACTGTGCCAGTGGTTTATGTTGCTCCCATCGTACCTGAGGACCACATTCCCAGAAATAGTTTCGAGCCCCCCGAAAAGTGTCGAAAGAGTGTCGAGAGAGTGTCGAAACGGTGTCGGGCAAGTGTCTCCCAGGGCCCGAAGTGTGAAAACCCTAGGAGTTTCGGTATTTTCTTGGGTGCTCGAAATTCTTTCTGGTGATCAAGGCTGAAGTCGGCTGGAACATCTTAAGCCTAGGTTCCTCTATACGAGGGGGGGGTACCCCCCCGAAGGGGGGTCCACCTCGCCTCGTCGTCGCGCCGCGGCGGGGGTCGGAGCGCCTTCGGCGCGCGGTGGCTGCCCGCGACGGGAGCCGATGTGGGGCTGTCGGCGGGGGTGACGCCCCCCCGACGCTTATTCAGAAACTCGGAGCACCCAAAAGCCCTGGGAGGTGGGCGAGATTCCTGGGCTTTCTGGGTTTGTTTTGTACAAAACTCCTCCCCGGGGCGTGTGGCCTCTGTGTACCCAACGTGGCCCTGGGGCGTGTGGAATGTGGCTGGGGCGGGGAGGGCGTGGCATACAGACAAAAGCGCTGCGGAGCCGGGATGGAGCAGATCGGGCGCCGGATCGCTCCGCACCGCCGCGGGGCCGATGCGTCGGCGGTGTGCAGTTGGAGGCCTGTGGAGCGGGGAGGGAGCTCGGGAGAAGGCAATATGTCCATTCGCTCCGCCGCGCGGGGCCCCAGGACCCTACCGACCCCTCCCCCGGGCGGGTTCCTCTTCCCGATTCTTGCTGCTCACGGCCCCGCCCGAGACAGGCCTCCCGCGGCCAGCCGGCCGCCTCGCCTCTGCTGCGAGGCGCCGTCGACGGGCCCCCGGTGTGGTGGACTGCGGGGCCTCCGGGCCTGGCCGGCGAGAGTGAGGTCCGCTGCCCGCCGAGGTCCGAGAGGCCCGGCCGCGGCAGGGGTGGGCAGGGCAGGGTCGTGACATGGCGACCTCGGCGCTGGTTCCTCCACAGCCCCATTCCTTCCTCGCGCCTCCCCTTTGCTCCTCCTCCTCCTCCTCCTCCTCCACCTCCTCCTCCCTCTCCTCCTCCTCCTCCTCCTCCTCCTCCTCCTCCTCTCCTCCTCCCTCCTCCTCCTCCTCCTCCTCCTCCTCCTCCTCCTCCTCCTCCTCTTCCCCCTCCTCCCTCCTCCCCTTTCCTCCTCCCTCCTCCTCCACCTCCTACGCTATTTCTCCCTCCTCCTCGGCCTCCACCTCCTTCCCCTTTCTCCTCCCCCCTCGTCCTTGTGATGCACGACAAGGTTGGGCTCGTCACGGAGAAATGGGAGAGAGGCACGGCAAGCTCGTGCCGTGACGACGTCGGCGTTGACTCCTGACACCGCCCAGATCGCTCAACCTCGACCGCGCCAGTTGCTGCAGGCATGCTGCGACCGCCGCGCCCTTCCCTCGGGGACCTACTGACCCGGGTCACTGCAAACCGGGGTCAGTCGGGCCTTGTACTAGGTCGGGCCTGTCCCCTATGCAGGCGGATTTTGGACGAACAATAAAACATAGCCAAAAAATGTTCAAAAAATGCTCAAACATAATCAAACAAATAATCCCGGTACTATTTTGCTATTTTTAAATATGCCCCCAGTAGAGGGTCAGCCTTGCAGGATCCTGCAGGATCCTGCCAGACCCTGCACCCAAGCCTGGGGCGCTGCGGCCGCGGCCCTGTGCAGGATCCTGCATGCGCCGGCGCTCTGGCGGACCCCCGTTTGCGCCTTGGTCCCCGCCTCTGGAGCCCCGGCTCGGGGACGGCCACGAGGGGTCGTGTCCAGGAGGGGGGGCGCCAATCGTGGCCGGCGGCTCGTGCGCGGCCGAGTGGGGGGGGGGGCCAGGGACGCACGGAAGAAAGAAGAGAGGCGCCAGGACATCTGGGGAGATATCGTGGCCCCCGCCGTGACGTCCACCCCCACCCCCCACGTAGTCACCCCCGCCTTTCCGACCGCTTGCCCCTGCTCGCGCGCCGCCCGGCGCGAGGCGCGCTCGCTCGCTCGAAGATTTAGGTCGGGCCTGTCCCCCTACATGGGCAGTTTTGGGGAAAAATCAAAAATATTAAAAATATTCAAAACATGCTCCGAAATGCTTGAAAAATCGTCCCCAGGCTATTTTTCTACTATTTTTTGAAATTCCTCATGTCGAGGGAAACGCCCGACTTGATCGCAGATCGCTCCGCCGCCAGCGGCCGCGGCCTTTTCCCGGCGCGCGGAGGTCGCGCTCGACGCCGGCCCGGCGGTCTCCGGCGATCTTTGTGCGAAAGCTACATGGTATCATGCAACGAGGCGGGCACGATCGAACGCCTGGGTGGAACACCAAGAAGCGTACAAGCACACGTAAGCTGTACGGATGTCCGCGCGGAGTGCTCGCGAGGGGGAGGCGGGGAGCGCGCCACGGACGGCGCCAGAGGCGCCGCCAAGGAGGTCCAGCGCCGACACAAGAAAGCCGCGATGAACTTCATCAACTTCATCTTCGCTGAATGTTACAAGTTGCTTATTCAACTATGGTTGAGCCTGGCTTTCTCTGCGGCCCTGGTCAACGGGGCAACATGTTGCGACTCCAGCTGCTCGTGCTTTCGCCAACTGCCCGTGCTGCCTGCCGTTCACCAGCGAGCGAAGAACGGCATAAAATAAACTTTTTCGCTGTCGGGGGCGCCTGTCCCTGGGCGGCTGGAAAGTATATACCCCTACGGTGCCACCGTAAGGGTATAAACTTTCCAGCCGCCCAGGGACAGGCGCCCCCGACAGCGAAACAAAGTTTATTTTAATCCCGTTCTTCGCCCGTCAAGTTCACCCAGCCCGCTCGGCCATTTACTGAAGGCGCAACGTGAGGGGCGAGTGGCTCGGGGGAGGGAGCCTCGACCTGGCATCGGCGACACCGTCGCCGACACATCGGCGATGCGCCCCCCCACAGCGAGCCCACACGGTCGTGGGCGGGGGTCGGGCGCCCCGGCCCCATGTCGGCGATCCGTGGGCGATTCGGGGTCGGTGCAGCCCCGGCGGAGCCTGCTCACAACACTGAAGGGGCCCCAGGACGCACAAATAAATACGCACAAATAAAGATATCCCCCATATGTTCCCGTTTTTTTGTTTTTGATGTTCGTCTTCCCCCCCACTGCCCATATTTCCCTATATTTTCTGGGGAATCGACGATTACTTGTGTCTGTGTGTGTGTTTTCCTCTCCTGAAAAACCTCTGCAACATCGTATCAGATAGGGAGGTCGCTAGGATGGAGGACCGCAGCGCCGGGTTCCCTCTTCGAGGTCCGCGGCGGCTTCAGGGAGCCCAGCCAGCGCCCTCTCTTGCCCTTCGCGGAGCTCGGCCCGCCCATGAGCGTCGGCGGCGGGGACTGGAAACCAGAAGGTGCTCGCGCGCCTTCGGGGTCGGGAAAGGCATGCAGGAGGAGAACCGGATACCCGGCGTCGCGAAAACAAGAAGAGGAAACGGCGGGCGAGCTCCTTTCTGATTTCGGCGCCTGCGCGCCACTTTCGGGGCCCGCGGGATCCGCAAAAGACGACCCGCAGCAGAAAGTCGGTCCAAGGATGTGCTTGACGCTCCAGAAGGAGAGGAAGAGAACACAAATGAGATCAATAGCAGTAAGAAGAAGACTAAGCAACAGCATAATCGAATCAGGGACTTCGCGAGGATTTCCGAAAGCTCACGTTCGTCTTCTTCGACCCAGGGCCCACGTCATGAAAGCCCCACGCCGTCAAAGCCTAAGCTAACAAATCTCTGGGGTGCCGACGGTGCCGACGACCTCCCGGGAGCGCGTTGAGGTGTACAGGTCATCCGCGTGCCGGCGGATGATCTGTACATTCGTTCCGTCCCCGAGAGGTCGACGGTATTGCGGGGGTTGATGGGGACAGTGTCCAATTTTCTCTCGGGGGAGATGAATGTGAGAGCAGGAGGTCTGGGACTCAGACGCTACCGCCACTGTTCACACACGTCGGTTTAGCTAAGAGGACCTGGATTAGGACGTCGTGGACTTAGGAGCAGGAAGAGGAGGAGAGGGAGGAGGCGACCCCATGCCCACCTCACAAGCAGGGGCCCAACGTTACTTCGGGGGGGCCCCAGCTGGACGAGCAGAACAGTCTGGACAGAACACGGATGGGTGCTTCTCGTGTTCCGGCGTCAGCTTGTTATATTCGACTGACATCGGGGGCGCGCAAACATGGATTAGCGATCCATGGATTTGGCGCGCGGTCGCCCACAATCCATGGATCGGGGGAGGTGCCCGCCCCAAAATGCGGCCGGAGCCGCCGCGCCTGGCGGCGGAAATCCGCAACTTCCCATGGAAACGGGACCCGCCGCTAGAATCCACGCCTCCCTGACCCACGTCTGCGATCGCCTGACGACAATCGCGGCACGGGCGTGTCTTCCAGGCGGTTCCTCACGTCACCAACCGCAGGTGCCTCACGATTTGCGCACCCCGCCCCGAGACGCTCGAGCTCTCGCGCCGCGACCCCTGGAGGAGGGCGCCTTCGCGGCCCGGGCCGCGACGCGCCAGGCGCGCGCATCTTCTTGGCGCCCCCCTGCGGGCGACGTGACCACTCCCACCCCGCCTCCCGCGCGTGCTCTGCCGGTGCACGCGAGCCCACAGATCTGGTAATCGGGGGAACGAGAAATGACACAGACATAAAAAACTCGGAGCTCCGCGCGGATTTCTCGGATCCGCGCTGGACCCCCCTCCCAAGCGCGCGGAGCGCGCGCCAGGGGCGGCGCCGGAGGCGCCGCCAGGTGGCCCCAGCGCCGATCCGAGAAATCCGCGCGGACCTCCGAGTTATCACGTTTATGTCACCGCTCGTTTCCTAGAAGTGCTGCCGTTTCGTCTCTATGCGCACTCCAACTCTCACTCCTTTCCCCCCGCTCCGGTGCCCTACGCATCCGCCGCTCGTTCGTCACCGTGCCTCGAGCACGCATGCCATCCCTGGAGGGCCCCGGGGCCCGTGCGGCTGTGGGGTGTACAGATTTGGACGCCCGAAACGGGTACGGAAAAGGTGGGTACAATGCCCAAAAACATGTTGCGCCAAACCAAATTCTGTCGGTTGCGCCAAACAATGCCCAACAACATGTTGCGCCAAACCAAACAATGCCCAAAAACATGTTGCGCCAAACAATGCCCAAACATGTTGCAGCCGCTGTTGGGCAGGCGGCCTTCTTTCTCACATGTACACGGGCTGCGGCGACACCGACAGCGAGTCCTGCTCAGACTGCAAAAGGAGCTGCCGCTTGGGCAGTGTACCCATTCTCGGGCGTTGGCAGAACCGGGTTTGGTGTGATGTGGTTTAGTGATTTGTACTGGGGCAGGCCCCCCCCGCCCCGTTCCACTCACCGGAACTGCCGTCACCCGAGAAACACCAGCTACAGCAGACCTGGTTTACGGACTCTGGTAAATTCAGGGGTTCCGGGGCCCTACTACTAACTGGGTCCCCTTACAGGGCAGTTTAATAGATAGGATGTTCAACAGATAAATGATTTAATACATGATTAATGTATTAATACATTTATGCATGAACTCATCGTTGTTGTTAATACTAAATCCCTGCATTTATAATACATGATCCGCACGCGGAGCATGTATTAAAAACGGCACTGTACCTGGGGCCCTGGCTGTACCCGACAGTCGTTCCGTACCCATCTCGTTCGGGCCGACCAGGCTCAGGAGCTCTGGGAGTGCCCGGGCCCCCGCCGTGGCGGCACAAAGCCTGGGCCTGGCCAGGGCTCGCCGTCGCTCGAACCACGCGGAGGCCCGCACGGGAGAGCTACTGGCTCTATCCTTAGGTAGGGCATGTCCCCCTACAGAGGGGGTGTTGGACGAAAAATAGAACATACCAAAAAAAATACCCAACAACAGTCAGGCCATAATCAGAAAATCGTCCCAGGACTATGTTTTGACTATGTTTGAATATTCTTCTTGTAGGGGGACAGGCCCGACTTGACCCTATCCTGGGGCATCGCTTTATAGGGGTTGGACGACAAGTGGGCGGCCGAAGAAACGCGCTCTGGGTTTCTTAATAAGCGTGGGGGGGATACCACCCGACGGGGGTCCGCCTCGCCTCTTCGTCGCGCCGCGGCGGGAGTCGGAGCGCCTTCGGCGCGCAGTGGCTGCCCGCGACGGGGGTCGATGTGGGGCTGTCGGCGGGGGTGGCGCCCCCCTGGCGCTTGTCAAGAAACTCGGAACATCCTTGGGCATCGCTTCATAGGGGTTGGACGACAAACGGGGGGACGCAAAAACGTAATTACACCTTTCTTCACCAACGCCCAAGAACATCTCCACAGCAGGGTGTGCTCCGTGTCGGATGCACAGGATCTCGAACGTCCACGGCGGCAAAGAAATCTCGGATGAGGCCCGTTTGGGAAGCCCCCGAGGGGAGAGCCACTGTTGCGGAGCAAAGAAGAGTCAACATCCGAAGAATGAGCGGGGGGGGAAGAGGATTCGATTTCCGCTGTTTATTTTTTTGCTGGTGACGCCAGCCTCGTTGGGGGAGGAGGTGGAGGATGAGGAGGAGGAGGAAGAGGAAGAGGAGGAACAGCACGACGGGAGGACGGGAAGGGGAGGACTGTCAAATGGACTGTCGAAGTGTAGGAAGGCCCCTTGGGGTTTTGACTGCACCGACCCCCGAGGGCATGTAGGCCATCGCGGCGGAGACAGCGGGGTTGGGCCCGCCAGGGATGCGCCAGTTGCAAATCCAGGCCTCTTCCAGGCCCCCCAGTCACCCCGGAGGGCCTGGGCAATGGGCGAGCCTCGAAACCTCCTCAGTGCCCGGGGTGGCGATGCCCCCGCAAGTAGGGCAGGGCGCCGGACGGTCGGGCGGGCTTTGCAGGTTCGGCCAGTGCGGGCGCGAGGGAGGGCGGGGAGGGAGGGGAGGAAGAGAGGAAGAGGGAGAGTGGCGGCGAGAGAGACCCTGGGAGGACCCGCGCCACCAAGCAGCTAGGCCTGCAGGTGGTCGTCCAGGAGGCGGGACTCCAGGAAGCAGAGACACCTATCAAGACGCGCCTCCAAGAGCGGTATTCCACGGGATCCTCGGGGAGGTGGAAGGGACGGAGGTGGGGACAGGCAACATCATGATGGATCCGATCGCCAGCGAGGTGCTGACAGCCGAAGTGACAATATAAAAGAGATGGCTGGACGGAATATCCCACAAGTGGTACATGCGTCGAATGTGATACGAATCGCAGCCGTAACACGAAAGAGAAGCAAACACTTGGGCGCAAGGAGGAGCCCATGCTGAATCATATCAACCTGAGGACGGGTAGCATCTGGATCTCAATGGCAAAGGCTGGAGCCGACAATATTTCGACGGGCACAACGGGTAGATTACTTTGAATGACCTTGGCGAGCTCTCTTTGGAGGCCTCGAGGGGGGACATCACGGGATAGTCAGGAAGTTGAGAGACGATCTTTCCTTTTGCATAATGAACAGGGCAGAGTTGGCAAAGAGGGGGTGAGCGCACCTGACGGCAATGTGTGCGTCGTCAGACTCGAGCAGGAATGGGGGCCAATCACGCATTTCGTGAAATGAGTAACTCTGCTCGGCGGCCCTGATCATGGCCGCCTGGGAAACTGCGCTGGCTCTGACCACATTTTTGCCAGGGTCAAGCTGGCCCATATGATGGATGACAATAAGTGGAATCGCATGCCGAGGAGCACGAACTAAAGCTCGGCGACATTCCTTCTCCTGGGCCTCGGCAGAGCGCGGGCACGGCAGGGGCCAGGCAACGCGGCTACACGCGGGAACAGCGCATATATTGTAGGCCGCAACGCCCCGCGCAAGGCCATGGCCCATCTGTAGACATCGCGCGAGCGAGGGGCCAACTTCAATACTGGAGCCCGCTGGGCATCGAGCGCGGTATCGTGGCCTACAGCGACGCCAAGATACACGGCGTCGCGCTGCATCTTAAACTTCGAGATGTTTACGCGCACGTATGTGAACATTTGGATGGCGAGATCGGGGTTGATTCTGGTTATCATGCGAAGGTTGCACTGATGAATGTTCGGGGAAAAACCAGCGAAGTAGCCCGAGCGAGCAAGCAATCGGAGCGCGACAGGAAAGCCCAGGGGCATGTCCGAGCACGCCAGCGCGACGTCGTCCGCGAATGCTGTTAGACACATGTCAAGACGCACCTGGGAGCGCGTGATACAACGTAAAAGTGGGCCCACCAGAATCGCGAAAACGACCCCGAACAATAGGCAGCCTCGTTCAATTCCCCGAGTCGCCAAGAACCTCGAAGAGTCAGGTCCAGGAGGGCCAACGCCCATGAACGCGTCGCTGCGGAGCTTTTCGATGGCCCGGGGGATCCTACTCGGGAGCCCCATATTGCCCAAAACCTCGACCACCCACCGGCGGCGCGCGCGGGGGAAGGCCCGCGCGCAATCAAACAGGCAGCCCCCAGGAGCAGCTCGTCCGAGCGCGCCCGCCACCCGAGGAGGCGGCCGTCAATGAGCACAACGTTGTCGCCCAAGCTTCGACCTCTGATGATGCCTTTTTCGACGGGATCGACGACTTCGGCGGCGACAGCTTGGAGGGGCTGGGCATGGGCGGAGCGGGCGATTCTGTTGCCCGCGCTGGAGAGACAGTGGAGCCGGGCATCTTTGGGGGACCGTACTTCCTGACCACCATTGCGCATCGCACCCCTGGGGGAGGGGGGGCGCGCGCCCGCAATAGTTCAACTCATCATCGATGGGGCTCATCCGCGAGGAGGTGGCGGTACATAGAGTAGAGAGACTGCTGCACTGGCAAGTTTGCGCCCCCCCCCCCGGGCTGCGCGAGGGGCGCCGCCAGGGCCAGCTGCAGCATCTTTATTGCGCGCCAGGCCTTCGATGAAACGATCTTCGGAGAAGGCCCAATCACGCTGCTGGCGTGAGCTAGTTGCGCACCGTTCCTGCGCGCCGCCCATGTCTTGGGCGCGCTGGAGAAACGCGTCCTGGCCGGCAATCTCAGCGCCGGGCTCGCCCACCCATCCCCGACCCCAGTGCTCGCGAAATGGTTTTTGGGCGATCTTCGGGCCACAGTGAACTTTGCCTTCGGGGTCACTCACCTGGAAGTCTCAGCTTCGGCCGAGTGGCATCCCAAGCAGAGGGGAGACTCCGAATCCTTGCAAACGCCGTGGCCTGACTCGCGTCTGCCAAGCGAGGCGCTTCCAATTTGCACCTGTCCAATCTAGCTTGTCGCGACGCAGCCTGGAGAGCTATTCGCGGAAGCTCGGCCATCGGGCCCTGGCCATCATATCGCAATCGAAAAGCTGGCGAAGTTCAGGAAAATAACAGCATGCACCGCCCGCGCGACGCCCATCTCGCCGACGGCGCGCCTGCAGAAGCCGCAGACAAACATGTGCCTTCGAGGCCGGGCAGGCTGCGCCTTTGGCCCCCATGAACTGCAGAACTTGATGACTAGCACTCCTCATCAGCGCCTTGTTTTTTTTGGCCCGAATGCAGGGGCTGGTGCCAAGGGAATTGTCAGCAATGGTATGACCCAGGAACGCTTCAAACATCGGGCGCTGGGCGACCCAGACAGGAACCGACGGGGGCTTCCCTGATGGCCGATTAGGCTTCACCTTGCGGGGCGCGGGGGCGCGGTCAGAGGGCTTCGCGAGGTCTGCGTTGTCTCCAGAGATGCCCGTGGCGCTCTCTGAGAGCCATCACAACCGCAGCGGGAATGTTCGCAGAAATGCGGCCCAACCTGGCGCAGGTCGCACCCTCCTGGGCGGCGCGACGATGAGTATCAGATGTCTGCTCTTGCTCACGGAAGCGCGGGGACATCTCGTCAAGAACGCCACAAAACCGAACCTGACCAACGCGATCAGCACTGTTACGAAACGAAACACGACCTCCCCAGATACGATGTAGTTGAAGTCACCGACAGCGGAGCAGGAGCTGAGGGAGGAGAGGTGGGACCTGATGCCACACATCATCTGCCGAGTGAAACCTGCAATCCATTCGGGGCCGAAGTGGAGGTTAACGATATGTAGATTGATTGTCCGGATGACTATAAAGAGTGAGCACCGCGGTTATACCAGGATGTAATGCTTCGGGCGCGTGAGAGGTGAAGAGCTGGAAGAGAGCGCGCCGGGCAAATATGAACATCCCGCCGGAGCTGGCGGACGCACGGAAGGAGGCTGACACCCGCATGTCCTTGAAATCTTTTGTTCCAAAGTATCGAAGCCCCCCTGATGACCGTAATGTTCCTGAATGCACGGGGCATCGCGTGAGCGGGGGAGGGATGAAAGACAACTGTACTTGCTACGGCTGCGAGCGCAGCTGCTGGCAATCGAGCACAGGAGTGTCTGCACGTTCCACGCGCAGACAGAAAGAGGCTTGGCAGGCAAAAAAAAGCTCAGAGGGCGCGGTGGCGCATCAGCATGCTGGAACCCCTCTCCAACAGGAAATGCAGGATCTGGAACATCGCGGTGGCCATAATGGGCGCGATCCGACTATCGTCCATTGGCATCGCCTGTCACAGCGCATGCGAGATTTTGCTGGCGCCTGCAAGGACTAAGTTGACGGCTGCGAGGTCCGGGCCCAACTGTCGCAGTTCGGCTTCATTCGCATCGAAATGGTACAGACCAGCTGGATGATCGGCCATATGTCCTGCTGGTCCGTCAGCGACAGCATACCTTTTGTAGCCGTTGACGCGCAGGTAGCAGTTGCCGTTCAACGACTCGAGGCTCTTGCACATGGCCTCGATCTGCGGGTAGATGTTGGCGAAGATCCCCTTCATGGCACCTACGCCGGGTGGGAGCTCACCGCGTTCTCGGGTCTCCGTGTGCTCGCCGTCCCTGATGTTCAGCCACTTAAAGCCGCTCTGCGCGTACATCAGGCGGAAGCGCTTCGCCTGGTCTGCGGTGCGGAACTGGATCATGTACGTCTGACCTGTTTCGTGGGTGTGGGACGTCGCGTTGCTGAGCACGTCGGTGTAGTGACCGAGCAGCTGGTTTAAGTGGTCCTGAAGGAGGAGGAGGAGGAGGAGGAGGAGGAGGAGGAGGAGCAAGGGAAATGAGGAGGAAGGACGAGAGGGGGCAGGAGGAGGAGAGGGACGGAGGGAGGGAGGACGAGGGAGGAGGGAGCAAGGTGGGGGAGGGGGAGGCGAGGAGGAAGTGAGGAGCGAAGAGGAGGAAGAAGCGAGGAGGATGAGCAGAAGGGAGCGAGGAGGCGGCGAGGAGGGAACGAGGAAGGGAGGAGGAGGAGGAGGAGGGAGAAGAGAAGGCAGCAGGAGGCGCCTTGGGCGCAGGACGAGCCTTGATGAGGGGCGCCGTCATCTGGGGCGGCAGGCGCCTGCATGTGAGGAGCCACACCCCTTCGTCGTCGTCGACGTCGTCGTCGTCGTCGTCGTCGCCGCCGTCGTCGTCGTCGTCGTCGTCGTCGTCGTCGTCGTCGTCGTCGTCGTCGTCGTCGTC